ACCAGAGGAGATGAGCAGTATTTTGTAGGCATATGAAACACAGTAGGCACTTTTTTAGGCTCTCCGGCCATCCTCTTCAAACAGCCAAGAAAGGAGGAGAAGAAGAAAGAACTAACCAGTATCACTATCTTTTTCATCCATTTCAGGTTGATGTTGTGCTGAGTGGGGTCACAGGGCCACAAACTAGCCTTGTATGGCCACTGCATACTGGGATGCTCTAATATTTGCATCCTGACAAAGTCTTAGCGTGAGGCAATGCCACGATACAATCAAGCACTACAAATGCACATTGCAGCACCTGGCAAATTTACTTGGTGATAATATGTTTCTGCTGATTGTTAGAATATGATTAATTCAGGCAATGTCCCACACACCAAGTCACAGCAAAGCACAACATTACTTTGCACAGTCTCTCTCAGAAACCTGGATGTCCAAGCTGTTTATGACTAAACAAAAGTTAATAAAATTATGGTGTTACTGTATACCCTAAAGTGAGTAAAACTTTCAGATTCAGCAGATGTGGAAAACGTGTTTGGTCAGGATTTGGAAAGAAACAGACCTGATGTCACAGATAAATCACATGTATGAAAAATTACATTTGATCAGAGTTGAAGGGAGGCTTGTTTTCAGTAACACAGATAACAAAAAACATCATCTGAAAAGGACATTAGCAGCCCTGCGTAGCAGGAGGTAGCAAAAGTAGGTAAGGTCCATGAAAAGCTGGCTGGATTCATTGTATGTAAGATTTAAAAAACAAGAGGAAAGGTTACTAGGTTCTGCAATGAGTGGTGGTAGCAGTGGGGATGATGATAGAAATGACATAGTCAGGATTTCTTGTATGTAAAAGAATGGAAAGACAATAAGTGGTTGATCAAAAATAAAGCTAGGAAAAAGACCAACCCTACCACACACACATAACCCTTAAACATAAAATCCAACCAATGCTAAATGCTCTCTAAAGTACAGATGATTGTACACAATATTTATAATAACACAGTGCACTTATGAGAAACATACCTACTGCATTTATACCCACTCTGCTTTAAGGAGACATTTATCATTTTCACACAGATGTATGTACATGCTGCAGACATATTAATGCAGCTGGAAGGGAGTACATTAAACTGTTTACAGCAAATCAATGTTTTACAGCACTAGCTGTAGCTTCAATATATTCAATCTTATTATCCTGGAATATATCCTCGTTCTCTTTTTGAATTCTGAATTAATGTTGTTGGCTCTGTTTAGCAATGCCTAATGCTTATGCTGCAAGCATTATGCAAATAAACAAGAGTAATGAAGCTACATTAGGACCTTAGTTCCCCTTCATGGCATGGTAGAAAATGGAACAAGACTCTTGTAGCTGCACACAGCTGGGTGTCTGAGTTTTATAAAATGAGGTGACTTGGTCCTATAGTGTATAGCCCTCTTGTATCCTGGCAGAAACACCTATGCACGAAAAACAAGTGTTTGCAATGCGGCAGGGAATTGGATTTGCACGGGGTAAGTTTCAGACCCATCGGCAACAGCACCGGGAATTACAGGCTACACCAAAGGCAGCATTACTTGCCGTAGAGATCTCTGAATTTTATGCACCTGTGAGTATTGACAGATCACATATGTGCAGACGGGACTGGCCATGCACATACAGAGGTGACATCTAGCAGTAAATGATATGCCAATATGATAATCCTTCCACCTGCCTTTCTGGCTACTTGTTTATCTCCCTGGGATTTACTTCAATGGTCCAAAATCCGTGCTGCCGAAATGGCTGCTATAGGAAAAAATACCATCAGATTGCCAGAGAAATATTTCCTCCAAAGCCTTGCCTCCTAACAATGAATACGCCCCCCAGATTGCTCTTGTTACAGGCTCGGGATGGGTGAAATTCAACCCCACGTGCATGAAATTTTATTCACAAAACCGTCAAAACTCATGTATCTCAAGCAGTCTGTCCAAAATGGCTTCATAAAACACAGGTACTTGTTACAGTGAGGGGTATAGCTTAGTTGATACTTGTCACTGAAGAGGCAATCTTTGGCAGCCCAGAAATGCAAACATCATAGTCTTTACATTTAACTGTACCTGTTGCAAATGATGACTTTCTGAAATGTATTTTGTTTTTAAGGCTAAGGGAAAGCTTCTCTACTTTTATGAGACATATAGCACTTGCTCGACAAAACAATAGAGAGCTGATGAGGTTTTTCTGAAATAAATTATTCAGGAAAAAAACAAAAGCAACCACAATTTTCCAGATATTATATTTTCTCTGACACGCTCTATTTTACCATGTATTTGGAAAAGAAGTTACAGTGCATTTTGTTTCCTCTCTTGTTCAGAAGGAACATTTCATGAAGAGAAATGCCAGCTGGTACTGGGATAATTATAATTTCTCATTAGTACCAGCACATTTTAAAAATAAACTGCAAATATTGCCTCATTAGTATCCCTTGTGAAGCAAGTATTATTTTTAGAGTCTAAGAGGCAAGAGTGAAGATGTGATAAGTGTCTAATATTGCAATGGGAATCAAGTCTCAAAGGAAGAATTAGAGCTTTTTAGTTCCTTATTTATTTATTTATTTTAGCTCTGCTTTGCTACTTGCACAGCACCTCTCTCTGAACAGAGGAATTGGAGATCCATATACCTAAAAGGGAAGAAGTATTAGATTTTTCTTGGTAATATAAAATTATATATTATATAATATGGAAAGATTATACATGTTAACATTTTTTAAATGCCTTTTTCCTTGCCGGTTTAAAGGTTGGAGAAGCACCACATTAATCATGAAAGGGTCTAGACGTCTATATCTACAAGAAGGATATAGCAACAGCTCTAGCAACCAGCGTAACTCTTTCCACATTGGCAAATCAATGTCCCATCTATTTCAACCTGAAAGAATAGGAACATTAACTTAGTTTCTATTCACATGAAGCCCTGAGTCTGCTAACAAAAAGGCTGATTACTGCTCTCTAGTTCTGGTTTTGTGACGAACGTTTGATGGGTATCAAAAGGAAGAAAACATGCAAATATTCTGTGCTGCCACCAAACACTGAGAAAGAGGCTGTAGGTTTCTTTTCAGCGATGACTATGTTTAAAACTCATTAGAAGGTCTTGCGGGTCAGTATTAGGGTGAGTGAAATGGGCAGGGTGTATTTTTACAGGTAATGCTTTTTGGCAGGTGAGAATATAAACTCTAAGGGAAAGGGGGTATTTTTTACAGTTAACGTAGCTAATTATTTCCATGCTTTTTAATGCTTAGGCTTTTATGTCTATAAAGGGGACCATTCTTTTTATATATTTTTGTACACAGATGATATTAAACACTGGAGCCTGTTAAATATATTTTATCATTTTTGTTTGATGTTAGACATAGCTGTAAATGTTGAAGACAGACTTACTATTAAATATTAATTATGATACCAAAATTATGTGAAAAATATTTTATGGACTTCTACATAAAATTTATGCATGTTTAGTTTCAAAATAATTTGATATTGGCAAAAATGGCATCTGAAAATTAAGCTGTAATCTTCTGATAGTTTCATTATTAACAGTAACATAGATTTTTGCTTTCAAAAGTTAACTGACAGACTTTTTAATGAGACTGAGACAGAAGAAAGTCCAGAGGGATGTTGTCCCTGTGTCCTGCTGACATCTGAAAAATCTACCAGGAGGGAGAGGCAGCTGCTCATGCCTTGTGGTATGGAGCCAGTCCCAGGTGCCTGCCAAGTGTTTTGATATGTATGGGTTGAAAGAACTGTATTAGGGTAAGTTATTTTTGCTATTACAAGAAACTTTCATAAGTGTAAGGACTTTTATTGTGTTTGCTACAGTAGTTTTCTTGCATATTGATTACAATCCATTAAATATTCTTTTTTTTTTTTTTTAATACTGTAGTTCTGCAACATGCACTAATTTATAAAGTGGCCTCTAACAGGTGTCCCAGTAGACTTCACTCACAGCTGTTCTACAAACCAAATGCATGGAATATAAATCTTCCTTTCCTCACATAAGCATTAGCCAGCCAGGCTCTTAGTATAATCTGTTCATCAGTACACTAGTTTCCTTGGAAAGTTCAATATCTTAGCTAATATTTATTAATTAAGCAATAAGACATGACAGACTGTGCAGCAGCCCTAATTAATGGACACCTCTGGTGCCTGCCACGCATCTAAGAAGTGCATTAATCAGCACCAACACAGGTCTGAAGTGACTTACCACAATAATAAAATGGTTATTTACTTAAACAAGAACATTTCTCAAAGTTAATAGCATTTTTAAGACTCTAAATTATATCATGTACAGGATTAAAAAATTTATGAGAAACATTTTCAAACTCAGTTGCCTAAAGTTCAGCTTCCAAATCCCTGCTTAGGAATATAAATAGAGGACACTGGATTTGCAGAGGTGTTGGGTCTCTCTGGCTTGCACTGACCTGATGGGTACTTACAAATAGTTGTTGTGTCTGAAAATCAGACTGGGTTTATTTAGGTGACAGGTATCAGTTTAACACTTCTCTTCGCATCAGCTTGGACTCCGTGCTACCTGTGCGGGCTCCTCGTGATTTGATTTCCGTGACTGAGGGGTCAGACAAGAGACCCTCAGTAGACTTAGTCAGCCCTACTGTTCGTTTGACTGAAGATGTGTTCACATGGCAAATAGGCACCACATCAGACAGCACTGAACTCGCCTCTCCTAGCACTGCCTCCCTTTTGGTAGGGGTGGGCATATCATTGGCTTCTATGTCATGCGTGCAAGAAATGAACATTTAACTGGCAGCCACTCAAAACATCACTTACTTAGCCATGGTCTAAAAAAGTGAATTAATTTCCCAAAGTTGTTTCACTAGAAAAGCAATTTGTAAGATGGAATGTGAAAAAATGGCTCTGTGGAGTTCATGCTTGGAAAACTTTTGGTACTTTACAAAACCCCACCCGAGTCAATAATTATTTTATTGCTAACTAGAGAAGAGTTTTGCTGTGATCAAAACACAGTAAGTGTTGTAATGTTAATGTTGCCAGACATTTTGTTGTAGCAGAACCTCTGACTATACTTATGTAAGACCTTATCAACCGTTGTTTGCATAATGTCTTTTATGAATCTGTTTAGTGCATGCCCCTCTCTGTTACTTTCCCTGCCGTATGTACAGTATCACTGACCTTTGGGAAAGTCCTATTATTTCTGCAAAATAAGCTTATGTGAATTCAGGGTAATTTATTGTACTAAAACATATGTCCCAATATCCAGCAAAGTAAGCTTTACAATATGTCTAATAACTTGAAATTTCCCAATGACATTTAGAGTCACTAAACGTATTTAGAAGGTCATAGGTGCTCACTGTTAACATTTCAGCACTGAAAGCCTGTGGGTAGGGCTCCAGAGAAAGGGAGTCCTTTGTGCTGTGCATTGCTGAACTGCAGGGAAAGCCCCCAGGAGTCAGCATCATTAACATAAGCAGCGTCCATAGGGCCCACATCATTATTTTATATTAACAGATACTTCTGTTTTGGATGTAGGAGTAAATAAATGTTGGTATCGTCATGCTGTAGCAGAATATTTAATATACTCTAAATGGAGGGGTCACTTTATGAATTCTCGCTGCTGGCATGGCCTTGAATTGATCCGTCGTAGGGTCTGATAGAGGTGAAGAGAACAGCTGAAGCCGCCTCAAAGAAAGGGAGAGGCAGCTGGAATGAAGGTGTGTGTTGTGCACTACTCTCACCTGGCGACTTGGACTCTATGTGAGGGTCCTACCAGTCATTCAAACCCTCTTCCGAGGAGGTGAATAGTGGGGCTGAACGGACTTGATAGGAAGTCTCTCTCTCCCCCCATTCCCAGTTAGCGGTAACAGCAATGGGAGAGTCAAGAGGTGGGCTGGTAACGGAGCCGGTGTGAGGAGAAGGATTATGATTACAGGAGAAGTAAAAGAGATGATGGCAGTTGGGTTCCTCATAGAGAGTTGACCCAACACCAGATGAAATCACTCACAACTGGAATAGAGACTGAAATTCCCTGTGTTGTAGCACAAGATTGCATGACAGTGGGTCACGATGATACAGCAAAAAAGCATCTTCTTCCACCCACCTCCTTCCTTAAGCTGCAGTCACTACCAGCTGCCCATCACCTGCAGCTAGATAAGCAGATTGGCAAGATGAGGGGCAGAGGCAGAGTTACGGAGAGGTGACATTGCAGTTGGAAGCACTGGCACTGCACAGAAGCCAGGCATCATGGTAGGGCTGACTTTGTTCAGAAGTATCTCTGGCTTCATGGGCTTCTTTAATCTCTAAAAAAACCAACCATGAATGGGGTGCTGCAGAGGGAAGGCAGAAATGAAATACCAATTACGTGGTGAGGAAAACCAGGCAAAAGAGTACTGCCCACGATACGCTCAGAGGATGCGCCAATGGCAACTGACAGGGGCAACAGCAGAAAGGACTGTGAGCCAATTCTGCATTTATGACAGTGCAGTCCCTCCACCAGGCAGTGCTAATGGGGATGGAAGGGAAAAAGTAACTGCCCAGTGAGCCTTGCTTGTAAAGGTACACGTGGACGTTTTACCTACTACTCGGGGAGCGTTGAGTGGACAAGTTTGTGCCCCAATGGGGCACAAACTGAAAATCATGAAATTCCATCAAAACGTAGAAAACACTTTTCTATTGTGCATGTGACTGAGCACTGGCACAGGTTGCCCAGAGAGCTTGTAGAGTCTCCATCCTTGGAGATACTCAAAACCTGATTGGAGACGGCCCTGAGCAAACTGCTTTAGCTGACCCTGCTTGAGCAGGGCGGGGTGGACTAGGCAATCTTGAAAGGTCCTTCAACCTCAGCTGTTGAGTGATTCTGTGATTTGCTAGTACCTTTTGCCCAGTTTCGTGTTCTGTTCAATCTCCCATTAAAAGAAGGCTCACAGTGAAATTAAGCATTGCATCTACTGGTTTGGGAAGGCAGAAAATTTGAGGCTATACGTGCATTTTGATACAAAGTGCATTCCATGTGATGCAGAGTAATCAGGTTTTGCAACAGCATACTAGTGATGAACAGGCCAATACTGCCATGGCTGTGTTCAGCTTTGCTTCTGAACAGATTAGCTCAAGAGTAGCACCCTCTGCTATTGCAAGGCTGAAGTGATGTCCCAACTCCTTAGAAATCAGCTCCTAAAACACCACATCTTACAATGTGGCTTTTTTAAGGAAAACAATGGCAGTTTGCCTTAAATTGGTGTTTGCAATCTGTGGCAGTTCAGGAGCTGATACGTGGCTCTCAGTTCGGGCAAGGTGCTGGGGCTGGGATGCTCATACTGTTGTTCGGAGTCTGCTTGTTCATTCTCTTTTATTAACTTTGAACCCATTGGCCCACTTCAATCAAATTAAACAAGTTGTGTAAGAATCAGCAGCTGGGCAGAGGCATAAAGTTGGTTGTAGGACATATTTAATTATATGAGAAATCTATACACAGATGATTTCACACTGTGCCCTGGGGAAAAAATAGCCTTAATTCAGTTGTCTAAGTTTAGGTGTCTAATTTTAGACTCCCTAGAGTATCCTGTCTGGCCTTCAGCTGTTGCTCCAGAAGGACCCAGGTCTCCTGCATGTCCTGTGTCAGCCCCATGTAGACATCTTCATCACTCTAGAGCATCTCAAATGCCAACAGATTGCTAGCTGTGAGAAACAGAATTGAGCCTACTGGGCTTATCTGCTTATTTCACAGTAGATCCATGATATGTTTATAGTTCAGATAGTACCAAAATAATGTCTCCACTGAAAAGAAAAGGTCTATCTCAGCTCAGTGGTTGCTTGTTCTCTTCAGATGGGCAACCAGCCCCCACTGCCTGGTCAATCAACAGAAGCATAGCTCAAAACCAGGCACAGCATGTATCGTCCCATACCTGGTGTTAATTAAGGAGCACAGTGGGGAGCTGGGCTGCTGGCAGGTAGACGTGTGGAGCGGGGATGGAGGCTGTAGGCATTGTCAGGGGAGAATGATATATAGGAGAGGTGGTCTAATTCCAAAGGCTAAACTCACAAGAGAAATGCTGGGGAGAATTAGGATTATAGTACTGCTGAGACTGTAGAGTACAAATCTAAAGGAAATAAGGCTTTATTAGTTCTGCTATTCTTTTCTGTTTTGGATGGTTTTGGTTGTTTTTTTTTTTTCTTTTCTTCCTGAAACACTCTGAAATGATGTTTTTTTAATGAAAAGCTCTCTCAGATCCTTATCCCCAAATGGCTGATCAGCCTTAACAAGCAACCAGACTTGAACAGCTGAATAACTTAGCAACAATATAAAAACAGCCATCTGGGAAAAGTCTTGTCAACTTTTCAGAACCAATGCAGAGGTATTCTATGCACATATATGAGAGAGGTTAAGATAGGTTGGCTGATATTCTGCATTTTGACATAGAGATTGATGGCTGGTGTGAAGACTGAGTATACCAGTTTGAGCTGTCATGGGGATCCATCAAACGAGAATTAGTGAAAATTTAAATTGTGGAGAAAAAAGCATTCCCTCTTTCCCATGCTTCATTTTCTAGGACAAGCTAGAAGCAAATGTGTTTTTTTAATTGGGAAGGCTTATTTGGCCACAACTTTTGCAAAAAAAAGTCAGAGGAAAACATAACTTTGTTATGAGGGAGGACTATTGTCCCACACTGTGGTTAAGCCTATACATAGTTTTTAAGGAAAACAGAATGCATTTAATTCTTAGAAAGGAGAATTGGCAAATACATTTCTCATAGCAGCTTAACTCTTTAGAATTTAACCATGTACGCCCATTGAAGGCTACTGTCAGACTGTACTGGAGATAATGGGCCAACTTTATCATCGGAATAGTTCAGTATTGCCTCAAGTTTTGATTTGTAGCTTGACTGAGAACTGCATCAACTTGCATATCTGATGCAGATTCCCAGGGATTTGGGTGAAAGCCACATATAGCCAGCATCAGAACCTGGCAAGCTGGCTATGACTCTTTGTAACACGTCTTTAATCCATGGGAGGAAGCTAGTCAAGGTTTTAGTTATAGAGGGCCAGGTCTTCAGGTTTCATAAGTTAACTATCCCACTGAAGTTGATAGAGTTATGCTGATTTAAATAAGCTGAGGTTCCAGCCTATAAAGGGAATGAGAAAGCAAAACAGGGCAGGAAGTGACAATCATTTTCAAGAAACGTTTCAACAACTAGCAGATTAGTCCTCGGCAGTACTTACATCCTGGTTGGACATCTCCCAGTAAGGCCTCTCACCGTAGGACATCACCTCCCACATTACAATCCCGTAGCTCCACGCGTCACTTGCTGAAGAGAACTTCCGGTACGCTATAGCTTCAGGAGCGGTCCACCGTATGGGGATTTTTCCACCCTGGAAAATACGTTGACAACTTATCAATATGACCAGAATACAGAACAGCAAATGTTGAAAAGAAGAGAGAGGAGAGAGGAGAGGAGAGGAGAGGAAAAGTATCCTGGATGCTGAGATTCTACATTCTGCCTTCTGTGAATTTGCTTTGTCAATTGGCTGCAAGTGGAAAGGAAGAAATATATCTTTTTCAGAATTTGATAAAAATTTGGTTTAATTTGTAGTCTAATTCACCAAAACGAGCACTTTGTGAAAAAAGAAATCTCAGTTCAAAGAATAGAAAGCATTTTAGATGTTTCATGTTTGTTCAGAGTGATATAATTAGTCAGAACATGCCTTTTGATTGAAAAAATCCCAAGCCTGAAATTCCTAGTACATTGACATTTAATCTCTTTTTCCTTAAATGAAATACAAACATCTATTGCAAAATGGAGCACTGAAAGCAGTTAATAAAATTATGTAAGCAGAAAGGAAACTATAACCTTTCTATTATTCTTTACTCTTGATAATCTCTTTAAATTTTTGTTGTGCCCTTTAAATATCCAGGTAAATAGCAAACCAAGTGTGGTTCTAATAGGCATTTCCTTAGGATATTGAATAGTTTCGTTCTGCAGCTTTCAACTTAAAATCCAAGTGCTACCACAAAAAAAAAATCTGTAAGAATTCAATCAACAAACCTGACTTACTCTTTACAAGACCACAATATCCAGAATTTTTCTCTGACATTAATAATTTATACCATTGAACCTGGTCTATTCTCCCATAAATAGTTTATGTATAAAAACTGTTTTCCCTTTTCACAGCAAAGTATTTCTTCTCCAGATACATTTCTCTTTTCAAAAGTATACATTTATTATCATTCTCCATGTAACTCTTTAAATAAGTAGAGACAGAGAGTAGTATGCTTAAGGTGCCACTAGATGGTAGAAGGAGGCAGTCAGTAGAGCTGAGCTCACTTAGCAGTAGTTGCTTTCAACAAGCAGTAATAGATTCTGCTCGGCATTATAATTGTATTTCTGACAGCAACAAAAGAAGAAATGAACTAGAACATCCATTTGGCAATTGAAGAGAAGCCACAGTTAAAAACAAGTATGTAAATCTCAGTTAATTTGCTTTGAATATATAAAAAATTGTCTGCAAGTTGTTGAGGCCTGACTTCAACTGACTGAGATGATGCTTGTTCTACCAAAAAGTCTGTGGTGATGTGCCAGTAAGCTAACCTCTCATCACTGAGCCTCACCTGCTGATGAAAAATGTATGGTTAACGTTTATGTTGTATGATGGTTAAGCTGTCCTTTGTATGATGTTACATTTTTTGCAGCTGCTTTTTTAAAGCCTTTGCTTGCTCAGTTGTGGTTGAAGTCGGGGGAAACACCGACTGATTTTAGCAGTAGTAAGGTAAAGGTAATACTTTATTTTGTGTTCTTGCCCAAGCACCCTCCTACCCCCTTTTCTTAATCCAGTAACCTGGTGGTCAGATCACTCCCCTGGCATGTCAGAGATGCAAAGAACTTTATGCCCCACCTGCGGCCATCTCTGAGCCTGCCCTAGGCAGCACTGCAGGGTGTGATGCTGTTAGTCCTTCCTGGTACAACTCTTCCATTTGGGAAGCAATTACAAGTATTTTTGGGTATGAGAATGGAGAAATGCGACGACAAAGAGATTTGTGATAGGACATTCTCCGGGGAAAGACCAGCCTAATTTCTTGTCTCTTCCCCCCCCCAGAATATTTAAACTTTCTAAACAAATTGGGTAAGAGCATTTGGTGTTTGATCTCATGGTCTAGTTACAATGGTGTTTTGGTGGGATACGTGAGCGCAAGCTTCCTGAGGCAGTGGAAGATTTAGATATTCAGTGCCCCAAATGTACACTACACACTGGGCTGTCCAACCAATAGGAGGTGTCCTCTGAGAAACAGACAGTTTTAGGGTCCAACTGCAGAGTATAGTTCAAAATATCTCCTCACGCCACAGACTTAAGGGCCTTATCCTTTTTACGGGTCAGGTTTAGTCCTTTTTTTTTTAAACATTTTATTGCCAAACTTATGTAATTCCATCCTTAGATCCCTGTATTCTGCAGATTTTTGAGGACAATCAGTATTTTCCTGGCCTAAGTCACAGGGTCATGGAAGGCATTTAACTCCTCCTTTGGACCTGGACACATGCACTTTGAAAAAGGTAAACAACATTCATGCTGATCCCTATCACAAGAGACACTGCCCTGACAACCCTAAAAGCCCTTCCTCATCAGCAGCCTACCAGTCCTGGCTGGCAAATGATATAGAAGATGATACACTTGTTCCAACACAAGAGTTCACTGTCTAAACCTCATCTTATCAAGCAATCCCCCTTGCTGCCTTTTGCTTTATGTCCACTCAAGATACTTGCTGGAGTGCCGCACCAGCATCTGAGGGAGGATGCAAAAGGAAAAATTCCATATCTTCTTTCCTTGTCACAGATCTCAGGAGATGACAGGAAAAAAAGTCTACCAGTTTAGATAGCTGTGTTACTGTAAGACTTTGTTTATCAAGACAAACTGATGAATCCACAAATTTACTATGAGCCAGATTTCTAATTTGGAGGGTTTTATTAATCATTTATTATTTTTTGAATTTTAATGAGAAGTCTTATGTTAATAATTAAATATCTACTTGTAGGGAAAACACAAATCTATACATGAAAAAAAAGACATTTGGATATTTATAGATTTTACTTTTAATGTCTATAACATAATATGGATAACATAATAGGAAAATTATTTTTTAAAGTGTGTCCTTTTCATAAATCTGATTATGTATTCCCAAATTATACTCAAAAAAGAGGTCATATCTCGAGCAGCATTTGCAGCTAGATTTGTGACTATTGGCTAAATATAAATGAGTTTTAAAGAATCTGATTAGACTCTACAACTAGTTTCGTGATACAGCTTTACTGACTGATCCCTTTTGGACTGAGACAGCAGTGGCTCATTGAGTGTGAAAATGAGACTGGAGAACAGTCTTAACAAAATTCAAAGCAGTTCACGTTCAAGGGCATAAGATGTGTTCAGTGTTGTAATGTAAAATAAAATTCATTTGTGCTGGCTCTAATGAAAAAGTGAACAAAACCTCTAAAATTTATACAATGGATTTGTCTTACATATGAAGATGTTATATTCATAAAAATGTAAATTTCAATACTTAATTATGTTTGCAGAATATCTTTTTATGCAAAAAAGTTTTTTTATTTATTTGAAAGCCATTCAAAAGGCAGAGATTGCAATATGACTACCTTAAGAGATGTATATGACTGAACAGTAGTAATAGGTGCTCATGCATAATAAAAGAACACATAAGGTTTAGAGTAGCTGAAAATATATTTCCTGTTTCTGATTAGAGTAATAAACAGTGTTACTAATGTTGGACACGTCTTTTTACATTTTGATCTAACTGGGAAAATAATAAATGCAATAGAATCATAGAATCATAGAATCGTTAAGGTTGGAAGAGACCTCCAAGATCATCGAGTCCAACCGTCAACCCAACACCACCATGCCCACTAAACCATGTCCCTAAGCGCCTCATCTACCCGTCTTTTAAATCC